GATCAGTTTACATGGATTGGTCCGAGGGGAAAATATGGAGCTAGGTCGTGATTCTGATACTGGCGGTCAGGTATTATAAAACACTTCTTGTGCGATAAATAATGCTTATATTTATGTTTAAGCATTGATTTTAACTTGCTTTTATTTAAATGTTAGATTAAATATGTTGTAGAACTTGCTCGAGCACTGGCTACGATGCCAGGTGTATATAGGGTTGATCTGTTTACCCGACAAGTTTCCTCACCTGAAGTAGATTGGAGTTATGGTGAGCCGACAGAGATGCTTAGTACGGGTTCAGATGATGCGGATGGTGCTGGTCTCGGTGAAAGCAGCGGGGCCTACATTGTAAGAATACCCTTTGGTCCTCGGGACAAGTATCTTCCAAAAGAACTATTGTGGCCTCATGTTCAGGAATTTGTTGATAGAGCACTGGGTCACATTCTTAATATGTCAAAGGCTTTGGGCGAAGAAATCGGTGGAGGACAGCCCGTCTGGCCATATGTTATTCATGGCCATTATGCAGATGCAGGTGATGCGGCCGCTCTCCTTTCGGGTGCATTAAATGTCCCAATGGTTTTAACAGGACACTCATTGGGCAGAAACAAGCTAGAACAACTTCTAAAGCAAGGAAGACAATCAAAAGAGGATATTAATTCAACATATCGGATTATGAGAAGGATAGAAGCCGAAGAGCTTTCTTTAGATACTGCAGAGCTTGTTATCACGAGCACTAAGCATGAGATTGAAGAACAATGAGGTCTATATGATGGATTTGACGTAAAGGTCGAGAAAGTTTTGAGGGCGCGTGTAAGACATGGGGTCAACTGCCATGGTCGGTTTGTGCCTAGGATGGCGGTAAGCATGCCGTTTCAAAATTCTGAACTGATAAATGTGCTATTACTGTAATTTACGTGATCCTGAGCATTAAATGAACTCTGGTGAATTTACTAAGACTTATTCTCCATATATTTTGGGGTTAAAGATGCAACAAACTAAGAAGCGTTCTGAATAAATTTGGTGTTGACTACACTTTTTCACACCCCCAATCCATCGTTAGATATGCTTAAAGTCCATCTTTCGAATACTAAGCGGAATTCTTTTTCAGGTTATTCCTCCTGGGATGGACTTCAGCAATGTTGAGGTTCAAGAAGATAGTGCAGAAGCTGATGGGGACCTTGCAGCGCTAACCAACAGTGAGTCCCCCAAAGCTGTCCCGGCTATATGGTCAGAAGTAAGCGCCAGAGCCTTCATGATTTCCCACTTCTTAACACCATTTGACTTTTGAAACTATACACTGTTCGTTTCTTCAGGTGATGCGCTTTTTAGCGAATCCTCAAGAGCCAATGATTTTGGCATTGTCAAGACTAGATCCAAAAAAGAACATAACCACTCTTGTCAAAGCCTTTGGAGAATGCCGCCTGTTACAAGAGATTGCTAATCTTGTAAGTAGAGAAATAAAGCCCCTTTTTGGTGTAGCTAAAATCAGATTTTTAATAGATTTTGATAAAAGCTGTCGGTTCCATGAAAATTGTGATTAAAATTAATTGTTAATTTTGATTTAGATTTTTATCAAAATTTTAAGCTACACCAAACAGGGGTATAGTAAAAAAATGCTCATGGCCTGTTATCATGGGCGCAGACAACACCACTAAATATTTAACCACTGCCCTTGTTTATAGACTCTTATAATGGGCAATAGGGACGATATAGATGAGATGTCTGCTGGAAGTGCAAATGTGCTAACTACAGTGCTGAAGCTAGTTGATATGTATGACCTCTATGGGCAAGTGGCTTTCCCGAAACATCACAAGCAAAGCGACGTTCCAGACATTTACCACCTAGCTGCCAAAACAAAGGTTTATTAATATCATGTTCTACATACTATGTGAATTTTACAGTTGTATTTTATTGTTTAATTTTAAATTTAATTTAAAATATGACAGGGAGTTTTCATAAACC